CCACAGCGTCAATGCTTCCCTGCTCCCCACTCGCCCTGCAGCCTCTGCACCCCCCCACAGCGTCTGTGCCCCCTGCTCCCCACTCGCCCTGCAGCCTCTGCACCCCCCCCCGCAGCCTCTTTGCCCCCTGCTCTCCACTCACCCTACAGCCTCTGCACACACACCCCCTGCAGCCTCTATACAGCCTCTACACACACACACACACACCCCGTTCCCCCTCACCCAGCAGAGGGAGAGCTGCAGGCTCCACGTGGACTCAAACACTTCCTCGCTGCTCTGTGGGGGAGGAGGGAGCGGGGGAGGGACTCTGGCTGCTAGAGGCCCTAGTGGCTGCGAGCGGCTTTCAATCAGGCCAGGCGTCCAAACAGCCACGCCGCACTCCGCAGGAGGGGAAATCCCGGACATTTCTACTTCATTAGAAATCCCCCCCGGACGGCCATTTAAGGCTGAAAAAGCCGGACATGTCCGGGGAAACCCGGACGGATGGTAACCCTACTGTAGCTTCAAAACCTTCCTGAGACCCAGAATGTCTCAAACCTACTAGCTCTAGGCTGGGCCTGCTCTTGGAACAACACAACACAGGCAATGCCTGTAGCCTAGAGATTCATAGATTCAAGGACTGGAAGGGACCTCGAGAGGTCATCGAGTCCAGTCCCCTGCCCGCATGGCAGGACCAAATACTGTCTAGACCATCCCTGATAGACATTTATCTAACCTACTCTTAAATATCTCCAGAGATGGAGATTCCACAACCTCCCTAGGCAATTTATTCCAGTGTTTAACCATCCTGACAGTTAGGAACTTTTTCCTAATGTCCAACCTAGATCTCCCTTGCTGCAGTTTAAGCCCATTGCTTCTTGTTCTATCCTTAGAGGCTAAGGTGAAGAAGTTTTCTCCCTCCTCCTTATGACACCCTTTTAGATACCTGAAAACTGCTATCATGTCCCCTCTCAGTCTTCTCTTTTCCAAACTAAACAATCCACTGAACTGACCGGGCTCTGGTCCAGTTGGCTCTTACCAGGAGTTTTGTCCAGCTCTTGCAACATCGTATAAATACAGTGATCGAAGAACAGCTCCAGCACGCTGGAGGCTTTCACTAGCAGGGACTTGATGATGCTTCTCAGCTCCTTGTTCACGAGACTGTAGGGGTAATCTGGAGCCAGAAGAACACACAAGTATGAGGGAATTTCATGGGCCCACATTAACGCATGCTACTATCAAAGCTTGCAAGTGGCTTCAAGGAAACATGGCAATCCCAGACCATGTGCAATGCAGGATCAACAAGCAACTCTTATTCTCAGTTATGCCAGAGTACATGTGCGGAGTTTAGGAATAAAAAAATTATTTTCTAACTGCTGATTTCACCGGAGTCCCGTGGGATTTGGGGGAAAAAACCTTGCAGTTCTGCCTCTGTCTTCTAATCTACAGGAACGAGTGCTGCATTCAGAACCTCGGTGGTTTGGCAATGCATAAAGCAGAAGAGACTCCTGCAAATAATCTCTCTTTACAATTGTCCCTTTCAAGACGGATGAACAGAGACCTTTGTATTCAGATTCTTGCTTGCAGGTAGACCCAGAACCACCAATGGAGCAAGTCATGCTGGCCTGTGATTAAATCCCAGGCATCAGCGGTGCTCCAGCAGTGGGTTAGCAAGGACCACAGGGATTCTTAAACTGCAGGTGGGAATCCGCTGGGGAGGGGGGTCACAAGTATATACACAAAACAGAGAGCAACTGCTATAAACTAGATCACTTCAATCTAGCATTTCAGAAAGTTACACACACCTTTCCATCACAATGTAGTGCATTTACTTCCAAAAGCCCTGTAAACATACAACGCAGCAACCATTGTTCCTAAACAAAGGATACGTTTGTAGTGTCTCCACCTTCAGGAAGCTGGACTCTGATCACTGTGGTATCGTTGTTTTGAGACTAAAAAGGTGGGACTGAGACAACATTAGAGGGCTTGACTGTTCAGCAGCTGAAGAGCCGCATTAAACCGCAGACCAATCACAACACTGAGATCAGCAAAAAAAGTAATTTATAATGTAACAGTCGGCCACACAGGCGGGGTGGTGCTTGGGGGGGGGGAGCCCTTGCAGGGGCAATAGCCACTCCAAATATGCCTTAGCCCCCCCACCCGGAGCCAACCTTCCCAGCACACATGTCAAACGTTGCACAGAAGTAAGGGTGGCATGGCATGGCATTGCCACCCTTACTTCTGCAGTCCTGCACTACTGCTGCTGGTGGCAACGCTGCCTTCAGAGCTGGGCATCCAGCCAGCAGCCGCCGCTCTCCAGCCACCCAGCTCTGAAGGCAGCACGCTGCTCCTGGCCGTGACGCGGCTTTCAGAGCTGGGAAGCTGTGAAAAGTGATTAACAAACATACAAATATCACTTTTCACAGCAGACTTAGCACCCCATTGCCACCCTTACTTCTGCGCTGCTGCTGGCGACGGGACTGCCTTCAGAGCTGCCCGGCTCTGTAGCTGTGTCTCCGTCAGCAGCAGCGCAGAAGTTAGGTAGTAATGGGGCGTGAAGTCTACTGTGAAAAGCGATAGACAAAGTTTCTTTGTGTCCTCCCCAGTATTGAACAGTAACTATTTAACAAATTAACGTTTATCCTTTAACAATCATTCAATAAAAAATGGGTTTTAGTCTTAATTTAAAAGCAGTGAGAAAATGTAAATTCATTTTGAACAGGGTTATAAATTTAGCATTTAAAATAGTGTTAAATAGAAAAAGATGTTTTTAATTTATCAGAGGAGTTGCAATCAGAGGCTTGCTGTTTGAAAGGGGTTGCCAATACAAAAAGTTTGAGGACCACGGCCATGCAGGAACTTTAAAACCACAGGTGAGAAAACGTAGGCTCTTGTGGAGCAGGTAGGATTAAGGAAAGTCCCTGATTTGTCAGTCCTCTGCCATGTGCGAAGACAGTGACTTTTTAACTGGCATATATAGACATCGAATTACAGAAGGATACAAAATGAAGCAAATGCCCCATGCTTTATCGGCGCAGTCACAGATGAGGTTTAGGATTCTGTTCCACCCTCGAGGTACACAAAAGCCTTCCGACTGAGGAAAAGCTACTTTTTAAATGAAAAATCTCTCGTTCTGTATAACGTGCACCCATGCAAAGTACCTGAAACAGATGGGCGCCAGCACACGGCTCATATGCAGAGGGAGCTTTCAAATCCAAAGATTAAAATTCAGTGGCTGCTTGGAAACCAGTCTCCAGGTTTCCTCTGCTGGTTGCTGAACTACCAGTAGCCACTATCAAAAATGTTGTGCAAGCCTAGCATAGATAAGGCCAAAGTCAACATGTTCAGCACTTCGCTCCTTTAGCCCTCGGATGCCTATATTCCAAGGCCAGAAGGGACCATGGGGACCATCCAGTCCAGTGGTCCCCACACCTTTTACGTCGTGCCCCTCCTTACCGCTGTCCATGCTCCCCACACCCACCCTGGGAGCCTTGCTTGGGAGCCAGGGCTAGCAACACAACTGGGGGCGAAGCCGGTGGTGGGTGGGGGCCAACGGTCGGAGGGGGGCGAGGGAGCCAGGGCTGCTCCCTCCCCCCATGGGGGTTGGCCTGGGCTCCGCCACTCCCCTCAATGTTCCCCTGCACCCCCTTAAACATTCCTCCCCTCCCCCCAGCGGGGTGCACCCCACAGTTTGGGGACCATTGATCTAGTCTGACTTCCTGAGAACTTCAAAAATAATTCCTAGAGCCTATCTTAATTTAAAAATGGTCAGTGATGGAGAATCCACCACAGCCCTTGGTAAGTTGTTCCACTGGTTAATTACTCTCCCTGTTAAACATTTACCTTATTGCCAGTCTGAATTTGTCTAGCTTCAACCCCTATCCATTGGATCTTTCTCTGCTAGACTGAAGAGCCCATTATCAACTATTTATTCCCCATGTAAATACTTACAGACTGATCAAGTCACCCCTTAACCTTCTCTTTACTAAGCTAAATAGATGGAGCTCCTTGAGTCTATCATTATAAGGCAGGTTTTCTAATCCTTTAATCATATTCATGGCTCTTCTCTGACCCCTCTCCAAATTATCAACATCCTTCTTGAACTGTGGGCACCGAAACTGGACCCAGTACTCCAGTAGCAGTCCCGTTAATGCCAAATACAGAGGTCAAATAACCTCTCTGCTCCTACTGGAGATTTACATGTATGCATCCCAAGATCACATTAGCTCTTTTGGCCCCAGCGTCACAATGGGAGATCACGTTCAGCTGATTATATGTAAAAATGGCTTGCATTCTTCTTACTAGATACATACATTTAGCCATATTAAAACACACATTGTTTTGGTAAACTGGGTGCAAGCAGAGACCCAGATAGCTCTGAATCAGGGACCTGTCCCCTTCAATATTACCCCCTCCCCAGTTTTTGGGTCATCTGCAAACTTTATCTGGGATGATTTTATGTTTTCTTCTAGGTCATTGATAAAAAGGTTAAAGAGCGTACAGCCTAGAACTGATCCCAGCAGGATCCCCCACTAGAAACACACCTCATTTACAATTACATTTTGAGACCTATCTGTGAGCCAGTTTTGAATCCATTTAATGTGTGCAATGTTAATTTTATATCATTCTAGTTTTCTAATAAAAATGTTATGGGGTGCCATCAAATGCCTATAGAGAAGTCTAAGTAGATTATCTCAACACTATTACATTGATCAAATAAACTCGTAATCTCATAAAGAAAAGATGTTAAGTTAGTTTGACAGGGTTGATCTTCATACACCCATGTTGCTTTGCACTAATTACATTACCCTATTAATAGTCTCGTATCAGCTGCTGCATTATCTTGCCAGGGGTCAATGTCAGCCTGACAGGCCTATAGTTACCTGGGTCATCCCATTTACCCTTTCAAACACTGGCACATCAGCAGCCTTCTTTCAATCTTCTGGAACTTCCCCAGGGCTCCAAGACTTATTGAAAAATCAACATGAATGGCCCAGCTCTTTCAAAACTCTTGGATGCAAGTCATCAAGACCCACTGATTTAAAAGAGTCTAACTTTAGTAGCTGCTGTTTAACATCCTCCAGAGATGCCAGTGGAGTGGGAAGAGAGTTATCGTCACCATAGGATGAGACTGTACCATGTGTCTTTTCCCAAATACAGACTAGAAATATTTATTGAACAGTTTTGTCTCTTCTGCATTATTATTGATAATTCTACCATTTCCATTGAGTAGTGGACCAATACCATTGTCAGGATTCTTTTTGTTCCTAATATATTTAAAAAACTCCTTATTGTCCTGAACTCTGCAGCCATAGATTTCTCCTTGTGTCCCTTGGCTTCCCTGATCAAAAATTTTCTACAATTTTTAACTTCTGATTTATATTCATTACTATCAACTTACCCTTTCTTCTATTTGTTATATATATATATTTTTATAGCTGCCTCCACTTCCCCTCTAAACCAGATTTTTTTTTTTTAAATCAGCACGGCCTTCTTCCTCGATTGTGAGATTGTGCCTTTGGAGGCAACTAGTCAAGTGTCCTAAAATGATTCCCAATTATCATTCACGTTTTTCTGATTAAACTCTTCCTCCCAGCTGATCTGGCTCATAATTGTTTTCAGCTTTGTGAAATTGGCCCTATTAAAGCACCAAATATGTATATGACTGGTCTGGACTTTATGCTGGTTGTGCATTATAAATGATCAAGTCATGATCACTTGTACCTAAGCTACCATTAATTTTTAGTTCTGTGATCAGATCCTCTCTATCTGTTAGGATGAGGTCTAATGCAGAATTTCTTTCCCCGGGTTGGCTGCAACTTTCTGGGTTAGGAAATTGTCATCTGTTCTGTTGACTACTGGCAGCATGAGACCTCCCACATGTGTCACTCAAACTAAAGTCCCACGTGATTATGCACCTTTTTTCCTAGACATTATAGACAGGTGCATAAGGAAGCTGACATCTGGTTCCCTGCTGCGATTTGATGCTCTGTAGCAGACACCAACTAATACCCCATCTTGTGCTCTCACCCGCCAGGACCACGATCTGTGCCTGTGAGGGACAAAAGAACTACAATCCTGATGAGGGCTGGTTTTCTTTAGCATATTGTGTATTAACTCAACCTCAGGTTCAAGATTTTTCCTCGGTGACGTAAATATGCAAGGATAAAAATGGGAGCAGGTTTGTAAGGAAGGGATCAATTTGGGTTTAAAATGAGACCTGAATCTTAGAGTTACAGTTAGAAAGTTTCCTTATGGTGATGATTAGATGACTAGCTATTAAGCAGATTGGCTAATTTTAAGCGCCATGTCACACAGACCTGCTCTGAGCAGAGTGATAAAAATGCCTGAGTTCTGTTTACACCACAGGTTCCACCACCGCAACCCCTTTTCTGAACGCACCCGTGGGTGTTGAGTTATGGGCCCATTTTTGCCTAGCTCCAGGGTGCATCAGAACTGACCAAGCTGTCTGTATTAGCAGGCTGGCATCAGTGTTTGTAACACAGCATGCAAGAGCAGAGCATCGCTATCAGGATGAGGTTTTACTGCCCTCATGCCACTCAAGCATTTCACACCAGACAGTTTGTTATTTAAAGAGTCACTGACCAGGAGTATGCTGGCTGAGCGTGGGGTCACTCCGAGGGGTCTGCAGCTTGTAGTTTAGATATCCAGCCAGGTCTTTAACCCACACAGACGGGTTCTCAGGAAACACGTTCTGACTTTTATCCAGCTCCTTCTGAAGTTCTGTCAAATCAAGCTGTAAAAGACACACAAAGAACATGGTATAAAATCTCAGTCTGAGATTCAGAGAACGGCTCTCGGTATGGAAAAGCAAGATCTGAAATATAAGTTAGTTCAGGAAGATTGTGTAAAAAGACAGCTGAACTAAATTTCCATCTGTACTGGTGCAAAAAGAGCCCTGCATTTCCAAAATAGGACATACAGGCTTCCTAGAGCCGCAACCATCACTGTTCCCCGGACTCGCCAATCCTTTGCATCATGACATGAATAACAGCAGTTGTATTGACACACAAGATCTGGTTTTGTTTTTTTATATAGAAACTATCAAAACCAGTGAAGCCCAGTGCTGAGGGCGAAGAGAAGAATAAGAAATATGCAGGGACCTGACCACGTGTCCAGAACTGAACAGATTTTTATAGCAAGACTGATGTCAGTAAAGCAAATAAAAATAAAACACTGTTCTAAACTCAAAAGACTACGCAGAACTTGCCCCTTCTTGCTCCCCAGGAATATGAAAGTCAGAGCTGGTGACTAAAATATGTTTTCACCACCTTATGCACCTGTTAGCACTAGCAAGCCAACAGCTGAAAAAGAGTCACAGCTGGACCCGACTATTTCTTGCAGCAACAGAACTATTTGCTACGTTTCAATTACAAGGCCAATTGGTTCAATTTGTGCATCCCCACCAACTGGCAAGGGGAAAAACAGGTGTTACCAAAGGCATAATCTGAAGATAATGAGATAGCATGTAGCTGCATTTTCCCTAGCAGTCTGAGAGTCAACCATGCTTAGTTGTACACACTTACCACTATGCACAACCGCGTTTGGATCAGAATCAGTGCACTTTGGGGCGTCAGCCTACACAGAGACCTAGAGGTAGGAAATGACTTGATAGCAAGATCCCTTGCTTGTCTGAATGACCCAAAACCAGCACACTGGGCCAATACCTAGTCTACTTCAAGATACGTTCTTACCATAGTCACCCTCTACCTATTTGGCACATCTTGTTTTAAAATTAGATTGGAAGCTCTTCAAGGCAGGGGCCATCTCTTGCTATATCTGTAAACACGCCCAAAGCCTGGAGGGCCTGTTTGCCTGGAAACATTACTGGATCATTGTGCAACAACTGAACGTCTAGTCCACTGCACCCTCAGGGACCAGCCATGTACGCTTCCTAACTTCTATTCTAAAAGCCAGGTTATTTATCCCCTCCACACTCATTCGGTTTGGACTGCTCTTTTTAACACCTAACTTCTATCCTTCTTGTAAGACACAAACACAATTAACACTGACGCACAAGATGAATTTGGCTTAAACCGGAAATTGAATGTAAATGGTAACGTCCTTCTCCAACAGAAATCTAACAGATACCCCTATGATGAGCATGGAGTAAGAACCTAGATTAAAGAGAAGGAACTGAATACAGGAGCTCAGCAGACAGCCGGTGTACCAGGTCTTCATTATGCCATGACAAATTTCAATGTAATCCTTGTTTGTTTGGCTTTTCTAAGAGAGTCAGTCTACACTCAGGTACCACACCAATGGTAGGCAGACAAACATTGTAGCAGGTTTACTTAGAACATGTAAAGCTCACACCAGCTGAACTGCAGCCCATTTCATCAGGAGGCATGATAAGACAAGATGTGAGAGAACATTCCCAGCAGTGAAGCCTTCGTAGAGTTCCTCCCAGAGAGCATGAGAAGTGGGCAGAAAAGAAGCCAGTGCTTCCTTTCTAGCCTGCTGAGGTCTGAAGGGACTTTCCTGCCTGCAGGAGCAGAAGGAGCAACACAACTTCAAATGCCTGTCGCAAAGGAGAAAAACAGAACTAGTTCTTGCAATCAGGTTTCTGCCACCCAAGTGACAAGATCATTCGCTCCACTCACGCAGCAGACAACAGGATTGGGATTATTAGTAGTCATTACTGGGATTATAGTAGCACCCAGGAGCCCCAGTCATGGGCCAGACCCCCATTGGCCTAGGCGCTGTACGAACATAGAACAAAAAGAAAGTCCCAGTTTGGGCTTTGGCCAGTCATAGCACCAAGGTGTTTGTGTTTTTTTAAAAAGGAAGACAAGTTTCACTTCAAATAATAAACGTGACCTCCAAGAATGGCAGTAGACACACCAAGGCAGTAGCTGGGAGTGCCCCCATCTCATCTCATTTGCACTGGGAGCACTGGAATGATGATACTGGGACAGAGATAGTACATTCCCTATCCTATTTTCCTCATCAAGATTTAAAAATGTTATTAAAGTTAATGTTAAAATTATATAATACACAGGGTAAGAGTGTCTGTACATCCGGGCATAGTGCTTAAATTACCCAAAAGTACAAAGGTTGGTTTAAAAGTCATATAATACATATAGTATATTAAAACTCCAAAGAGGCCCAACTGCTTTGCAGAGACGCTTATTCAGACAGTGCAACGGTGAACCACAAAATACCAGTTTGGCTCAGAGGACTAGGGCATGTCAAAGGCAGCAGCCTCTGAAAGCTGAACTCTAGGAAGAGGTAAGCTGGGCACTTTCCAGAACTGGTGCAGAAGGGAATGCTGCTCCTCAAGGCACATGTGTAGTTTGGACATCACAATCTGCTCCACTAGTCTGGACGAGCAAACTCTTACAGCTCTGAAACCATCACAGTCAGTACCGAGTCCCCAAGATGGAAAAGCAACAGAGAGAACAGCATAGGAGGCGGGAGGTCAGAAACCTTCATATTCTAGTGTACTCGGTTTTTACATTCTGCTGCTCCCATCCAGTTGAAATGACTAGCTAGCTCTTCCGAAAGCTGTTTTCCCTTTACATCCTCTGACCTCTTATTCCTGTGAGATCACAGAACTTCTCTTCTCCACTCGTCATTTTCCCTTACATGATGCTTTTAGCCCCCTGCATTTTTCCTGATCCCTTTTCACCTACTCCCACATTTCACCACCTTGCTTTTCTTAAGACGAGCTTTACAGATTTCTACAACACGGCACGTGCCCACCCTGGTCTTTAACATGGAGGTGCAAACCCTGGAGATAACAGGTCCCAGCATGCAGTGTTCCAGGATGGTGAACTGCTTGCTGAGAACTGTCAGCGTCACCACCCTATTTTCTCCTATAAATGGAACAAAATCTCAGTCCCAGTGCACCATCTTGCTCCCATACCCAACACATACCCCTCTAAACCTGCCTAAGGGCTCAGTTCTTCCGTGCAACCTGCCACTGTAGCACACATTAGTCAAACGTCTTCCTCACCCCAACCCGAACAGTGGGTAGTAAAAGTAAGATGGAAGGGGGGAAATGAAGAGAACACTTTCCTACGGATCTTCCAGTGCATCTTTCCTCATCAGTGTTTGAATTTTGGAAGCTAAGAACCTCAAGCAAAGGACTAAATTTTTGTGTCAGACAGCACTGAGCAATTAGCTGGCGTTTAATTACACTAATGCATACATCTCTGACAGCTCAATTTTATGCTTCTGAACCATTAACATTGGGGTTGGAGACTACGGGCCCCCTAGGCTCTGCGGCAGCTCTGGGCCTGGCTTCTTGGGACATCACCAGGATGAGTTAAGGTGAACAGGCCCATCTATAAACTCCTGACTGCTGATGTACTGCTCTTCACGCCCTTCTGCTTCAGTAATTGGAGGTATAAAACTCACAGCTTTCAGGGCATCCTCCAGCGTTCGGAATTTGCCTTGCTTGAGTCCTGCATTGACTGCAGTTGACTTTTTAGCATTTTTCCCCATGTTCTGTTTTTTGTGATGCTGCTCAGGGGCAGGGGCTGGAGGCACTTGCTCTTTGTTCTGCTTCTTCACAGTTTTCTCAAACCCCAGCTCAAAGATGGTGTCTGATGTAGTGATAGGTGCTAGAAATAAGACAAACAGAGGGAAGGGATCAGTTTGGCTGAGACAGTAAAGGCAGCTCAAGTAGAAGCAGATGTACTGGGATGAAGCCCATCACTAAAAAAGACCCCATAAAAAAGCAAATCCAGTATTAAGTGAATAAAACTTTTACGAGTCAGGGACGACAGCTCCTTAACAACCCACTATCTCCCTTGTACAGAGGCTGGGCACTGCAGTCAGTCTCCTTCCCTCCAGGCTGAGCCCTGGGCAGCAGGATCTGCTGCAAGGCAAGTGACCATTTAATATAAGGAAGCATGCATCTCTCCCACCCATCCACCCACATGGGGCTGGGGCAGGATTCAGACCCTCACCAGGCGTTGCTGGCATGCCCATCGCTGCGGTACCCAGAGGCCAGTCTCATGGACGCCCAGGCCCTGTGGAGAGCTGTGCACTGTGGTGGTGGACCCATGGCAGAACAAATCCTCCCTCAAATCCTATGGGAACAGTTACCCCAGAGCATTCGCCCTCCTGCACCCACGGCCGGATCCCCAATTCCTGTACAGCGGGGCCAAGCCCGGCTCGCAGGCGGCACCAGCTCTGAGCCCCAGAGCCTGCCTCTGCTCTCACTTACAGGGCGTGGTGCTGAGCCCCCCAGTGCAGGCTCTGGCCCCGCTCCCCCGCCCGGGGGTCGAGCCCCGCACCCCCCCGGGGGGCCGACGGCCCCGCCGACCCCCCCGGGG